CAGGGCAGATGGTTATTAGGTGGACTATTAGACGGGACTCACTGAACCAGATTGGCAGCCAGTACTCCAACAGCTATAAATGCTTGGTCAGGGTTTTACCGGATAATACGCAGTTTTATCAATACCATTACATTTTTAAGACTACTTCAAGGTAAGCAGAGCTAGGAATGAAGGTAAGCAGTAGTGAAAGGGATGTATGGTTTTGTGCTGTCAGGGTAATTTTTTGTTGCCCTGTGACACTGCATAACAAAAGTTTTATACACAGTAATCCTAATTATAATACATCCAGTTTGCACCAGGGTAATTGTGTTTTCTTTTGGAAATTTTTTATATGCCTCTACTGTGTTCACAAAGACTTGTTGCTTGTGTTTCTTTTTGTGCAAATTGCAGGTAAATATTTTTGATTCAGGTTTGCATGGTTTTTTTATTAAGTAGCTAAGTTGGGATTCCTGATTTTGAAGAAGGAAAGAAGTTTGTGAAGACATAGATAAATTTGTGTGTTATTGAAAAACCACAGCAAATTTTCTCCTGAAACACTAATCTTGTAAAATGTTTGAATTTATTCCTTGCCCGCCACCCTGATATGGGTAAAGTTTGGAGAAGCAGTCTCAGCTGCTGTGCATTGGGATGCTGTCAGTAGAGCTATGCCCGCTTTATACCAGCTGACAGTCTGGACTAATATTCTATTGGCAACAATCCAGCCTCGCTGAAATGAAGAAGTCAGATGCTCATCTTCAGTCTGTCTGAACACAGTACAAAAGTCCAAAACCTAGGCAGTGCAAATTTTCACGTTCTGCGTATAATACATGTAGAAACACAATATGTTTAATTGTTTCCGTTCTTGTGATTTGAAAGCAACAGCCACCTAGGTGAGGACGTGGTATTAAAGCCAGAAGCTGTAATGCGTGGAAAAGCTGACCTGTTAATTCTGAAATGCGTTGGCTACTTATGGAATGAACTCCTAAAAATGATGTTCTCCAGAAACAACTGGGTACTGTAATTGTGATGCATGTTCGTAGTAGGAACTAAATAAGGAATGGATATAGCATGCGACTGTACTGTTACATTTTTAGTACCGTTGGTGACACAGTTTTGTCCTATGCCAACTAACACTCTCCCAGATAATGCCTGAGCATAGCTCTGGGGTTAGGAGAGATGGTGGACCATTTCCAAAAGGCTGTTTGGATCTGGCCAGGCTGTTTTGGAGGGATAGGATTTTAGTTGTACAGCCGCAAGCTGTACCATGCTTGCTAGTTCCAAGCCCAGAGCGTGGCTAAGTGCCCTGGTCTGTTTTATTTTCTGACATATATGTGGCCACAGATCCTGCTTTCCAAGAAGCTGGGATTCAGCAGCTTCTTTGGGAAGGCAACGTCAGGATTGTCTTTGTGTGTTTAGAAGGGTAGGAGAAAAAATTCTATCAAACCTGAAAGTGAGAAGCTGTGTCTGGAAAGCTGGAAAAATAATCCAGAGCAACTAAAAATCATAGAATAATTGAGTTTCATATTGTTTTTATTAGAGAAGCCCCAGAGAATACACAGGTGTAGTTAGCTGTTTTGAAAGTGCTAGTTTTAAAAAAATACATATTTCTGAAGAATTATGGCCTGGCATTTGAAATAAAAATGAATAAATTAAATGTAAGCAGATGGCATCTACAGTGTCCTCAACTACAGGATGTATACCCTGGCAGTAGTGCAAAATTTATGCCTGTCCTAAGCTTTGCCTTCTGTTAACTAAAGGAGCAGTAGCAACCTGCTAGCGCAAACCTGAGTTGGCGTGATCTTTAGGTTTTCCTTGGGGAATCCTTGTCTCAAACAGATGTTTCAGCCCTCTTCTAATTGTCTGATTGCCTCCTGTCAAGGAGATGCAAAACTAACTTTACATTTAGCAAAAACTGTAGGGTGTGGTGGGGTTTTTTGTGGGTTTCTTTCTTGTCTTTTTTTTTGGGGGTGTGGGGGGGTTTTTTGTGTTTTTTTTTTTTTTTTTTTTTTTTTTTTTTTTTTTTTTTTTTTTTTTTTTTTTTTTTTTTTTTTTTAAGCAGTGTTAAAGCTATTAGCATCCTCATGACTTAACAGAGTCTGGTCCAACAGACAACTTACGGGTTGACTCTAGTCCGTGGAGTGCTTCCATCTGTCTCACAACCTCTCTTCTATAGGAGATGAGGAATAGCTGTTGGGATTGCGTAGGCTGCCTGGGGAACTGGCCACTTATCCCTCCATCTGGCAGTGGTCCAGCGATCAGAAACTGAGCTCCCGGTCCCCATGCGGACAGTGGTGGGCAAAGTGCCATTCCCAAGCTGGAAATTCCTGGTGTGATTTGTGGTTTGAGGGTTGCATGGGGAGTGACTCAAAACTCGGGTCAAGATGCTCTAAGGATGGACTGCCCTAAATTACCTGTATTACCATTGATGTTTCTCGCATCTTTCTGCATAATATTTAAATAGTACCAGCATGGTAGTAAAAGCTTTAATGAGCCTGTGCTTTTTCAGTACATACATTCATAAGTGAGTTCTGCTGCTGCTCCTTTTTTTTCTATATCTTAAAATACAGATTTGTAACTTCATTTTGGAACACATACTTTCTATTTTTTGAGTAAAGGACTTCTAAAACATGAAATAATATTGCGGTTGCAGAGTTAAGATTCAGAGTCTGACCTCTGACGCATACTTCATCTTATTCAACTCTTCTGCTTCGCCTCTGAACTACAACATTATGCAGTCCATTCTGTAATGTGACTTCACTTAACTCTTCATTTGCAAGTAGAATTAATTTCACATCTTTGCTATTTATGCTTTGTTGAATACTGATCATACAGCCTTAATTATTTCTTACACAGCAGGAAACTTTCAAAGTAGCAGCTGTGTTTTGCCTTAAGTCAAATTGGTTGTGGACTATGACTGCTCAAATCCCTGAGTGGATAATGAGCTTTACTTCCAGCAGGTCCCCCAGACTGCTATGCTGAGGGCACTGAACTGACTTCTGTATTTCATTTTATAAATGAAATGCATTTTAACTAGGGATTTGGACTTCCGGAGTAACTGTGTTGTAGTCTACTTCCCAGTCTGCAAGGTTTTTTGTGAGTATATTTTGCACCTGTTACATGAGAGCTTACTGCTGTCAGCACTGTTAATTTTCTCCAAATAAGCAAAATTAAGTAACAGAACAAGCTGGTCTAACATAAAAAGATGGAAATTATGAATATAATTCAAGACAATTCTCATTTATCTTTCTTTTGGTCTATGTTAGATTTCAAGATTTTTAATTAGCCTCACTAGGCTTATGTGCTCTGATGAACATACGGTTTTTTTAAAACAATCCAATTGTCATGTTTTGCAATATAGAAATTCTAAGGTTTCTATCAAATATATTTTATCTTCTGTTCTTGCATCTACTTCACAACTTTTATGCTATTTCATTTCTTATAGCAATCTTTTATTCTGTAGAGTTTTAGCCTGGATTTTTTTTCTATCCCTCTTGCCATCAGTTTAAAGGTTTCCGGCAATTTTTTACCATAATTAAACTTGTAAGTCTTGTTCTATAATTAATTAACTTTCCTGAAAAATATTTCTGTTCAAACACTTCTGTAGAATTTGGTGAGATACGTCCTGTGCATTTCAAAGGAATGTAGTAGTTGCTCACTCTCGGATTATGATCTTTGTAGTCATATTTCCACTTAACACTTCCAGAAAGTAGAAATTTAGTACCTTTTTTCCCCTGACTAAGATCTTTTTACTGATGTTTTCTTTCTTATGATAATGGGTTATGAATTCAATTAAACTGGGTTGCCTGTGGCTTCAGTGACTAAAAACTTCTGATCTTTTCACATTGATGAACTCCTTCTGGAGTGGATCAAATAAATGGATCAAATCATGGCTCACATACATACAGTTCTGCAGATGCCTGCTTTGGTATAAGGTTTTTAATTGATTAATTTATTTAAGGCGTTTAGCTATCAAATACTTCTCTCCCCTTTCTCAAACTGACTCAGGGTCTTTTTGCATGTCAGGTCATTCGTCCAAAGCCAGTTGATGTTGTATCAGCATAGTCTGTACTACACTTGCCCTTTCAAAGCTAAATTCCACCTTTTTTATTTCTGATTATCATCTAAATTTCACAGTCCTCTTTCTTTATCTGCACTGTTTCCATTTCAGTCCTTTCCTCTTCTTCCCACCTGTAATCCTTTCTCACAATTTTCATCCATTCTCTTCTACCACTGTTCACTTTCTCTCATTCTTGGTAGTAAATCTGCTTTGGTTTCTGTTTAACATGAATCTTGATACATCGTTGCTTAACCACTCTTTCTCATTAACCTTAATTACACGAAGCTTGGAAAATACCTCAACGCTTAGTAGCTTGGGAGTTAATGCAGCTGGATGGCTGGGATACCACTTCGAATCTTTCTCATGGGTGCTCATTCAATTAGCGCTGGGGTTCCTGAGTCCTTCACATTTGTCATTTTTGTTGTTGTTGGGTCAAGAAGAAGAGAGGCGTGTTTTCATGTATCTTCAACCAGTAGATGCTATAAAAAGCGATGGTATTTAGAGTGGGTTTGTTCAACCCAGTAGGGCTGGAGGGTCAGGAGTTGTCTCTTACTACATCACTGTGCTGTAGGAAATGGTGGTTTTCTGGGTTCTGTGAGGCGCTTCCAGTCCTTTCCCTGCCCCGAGGTGTTCCTGCTTTGCACATTCTCTGATGTCTCCGTTATGGCTTCTTTCCCACGTAAGCTGCATTCAGTCTCCGAAGTTAACTCGGTGTCCGAAACACAGTAACAGTAGTTCACTGTCCTGATGTGCTCTGCTGTGGGATTAATTGACCTTTTGCTCTGGGCGTAATGCACAGTAGAAGATACCTTGCAGCAGTACTCATTGCTTCAAAAAAAAAAAACCAAAAGGGAAATTACTGTTTTGAAGGCATCGAAGTAACTTTTCTGATTTTTACTTAGTAATTAAAGCAGTTTCATTAATAACAATCCCATAAATAACAATAAACAAATTTTACAATCCACAGATTGCAGCCTCTGTTTAAGTATCGGGAAGGCTCTGGATCATCTTCAACAAGGTAAGAGCCAACTACGGTCCTTTCTGTCTTGCAGGGAACAGCTGTCTAGCAGATTTGAACATCGTAAATGATAAATGAATACTCAGCCTCCCCTGAATGGCATCCTGTTACGTAGTTTTACTGTTGCACCTAACTGGCCCTTTCAAAATGCTATCTAGGCATAATATTTTCGCCTTGAGGTTTTTATTTGTTTGCTTTTCTTATTATAGAACAACAACTGAGAATTCTTCTTCCCATGTACTTTTTTCATTTACTCCACTGTTTGTTTTGAATCATTTCACTGTTATTGTTCTGGTCTGTGTAAACCCTTGGGACAGAATTGGCCTAGGCAGAGAATGGGATTTGTTCTTATCCCTTTTGAAGTCCTAAGTCTATAATTTTATTTTTTTTTAGGCCTTCTACTGCTTTTTTTTTTTTTTTTTTTTTTAAATCTTGACCAAGTTCCATCAAGCTCTACCATGTAAGTTCCAAACACCCTCTGTTGCTACAGAACTGGAGAGAATTTGCAGCCAGCAGTAAAATAAAGCAATGCTGAAAATAGACCTTTTTCCCCTAGAGAAGGGGAGTTCCCTGACTTGACCAGCTACTAATTGGTACAAAGGTTTGTTTACACAGAGGAGCTCTTCCTAATTAGTTCCCTATGTGGGTGCTCTACTTGAGAAATTAGTGTTACATTCTGGTTTAATTCAGTCTGCTTTTATAATGAATTGTTATAATTTGCAGTAAGGAATGTATTTTTAGAAGAAAAAAAAAATCTGCACTGCACCACCCCCGAGTTTAAAATGATAATTCCTCTTTAGGCAGCAATCAAGCACTCTTATTATTTTGAAATTAAATGAATAAAAATCCATCATTAGAGTAAATGCAGGTTTTAGTCATATCTTTATAAATATAGCTGCAGAAATACAACCGTGCGTTTTTCAAAGCCAAAACTTAATTCATCTGATTTACGGACCTGATGACTTGACCTCTGTAGTTGTGAGGATAATGAACCAGAATATTTGGGAAGAAGAGTGTTTGTGGAGTTACATTAGCATTGCTGAGGTTGTGGCTGGAATGGAAGTTCACTCTCACTCTTTTCCCTAGTGGATTTCTTTTTCTTAAGTTGACTTCACCTTTGTTCTGGGAGCAAACTTGCGTTGCTTTATTTAGAGTGTTGAAAAAGTGACGTAAGAGCCAGGCCTTAAGAAGAGCTGTCCCTAAAAATCTTATGAAGGACCTGGTCCCCTTGTTTTTCTCTCAGCCTTCCCTCCCCCCGCCCCCCCAGCACTTTCAGAATGAAATGATCGCTGTTACGCTTTCAAATTACATTCTTTATTTTGGTAGTTTCAAAAGATTGGAAAATGAATTTCTGAACTTAGAATTGCTTTAACCAGACCTCTTTCAATCTAAATATTGTTTTAAGTAAATGTAGCCATGATAATAAATTGCTAAATATTTTGGAAATAGGTTTGCATTTTCATTATTTCATTATTGTTTCTTTTAATTCTTAATATAACAAATACCAGTACCAGTGAACATTATTTTCCTTTGGCTGTATCAGTCTTGGCAACAGATCATTGTAAAATCCAAATTAAATTGAATCTGTTCTGGAGTATTATATGAGATAAAAATTCATTTGAAGTACCTGATCGTTTCAACCCAGCAACATTTTTCAGTGGTATTACTTTAAAACTTTTTGTAAGTTCCAAATTTCACTTTTAAAAGAATAATTTCAGTTATTCACAGACACAATCTGGCATATTTCCTTTTTTAAGCTAAAAAGTTTAATCTGAAAATGGAGGGAAGCAAAAGCATGGTGATCCCAAGTGTAATCTTGAATGTTTTTCATGACAGACGGACGTTGAATGTTTAGCATCACCTCTTTGGATTTTTGAACGTGAATTGGAGCCACTGTATTTCTAGGTAAGACATAACCAAGTGTTTCTGTTAAGTACCATCTTTCTTTTATATATGAGTAGTGAGAAAAAAGCTAGAGTGCAGTATGCTGGGCTTTACTTTGTACAGAGTGTTTATGTCTTTGCTGAATGAGTCCAATGTTATTTGAGTTTTTAAATAATAGTAGTTCAGTTGTCCTAAATTTTTATATTCCCTGAGAGAAACCACATCAGCAACTCTGCATGGTCTGTCTACGTACGGGATTTAATTTTATGATTAAGCGTGTAGTTGTTTGATTAGCCTGTTGCCATTCAAAATGGTAGTTCAGTTCTGTCTGCTCCTTCTCTTGCATCAACTCCTGTACTTATCTGGGATGTGCTGCTTTAGGGAATTTGCTGCTGAAAATCTACAGGATTGCAAAGACTTCTTGGAGGATTAATTTTCTGTCAGTTTAGACCTCTGCATCAGCTCACTGTGAACTCAAACAAGTACTGGTGTCAATGCAAGGAAATCAGTGCCAGTACTTGCAGCAACATTGTATTGGCTTTAAACATCTCGCTTCTCTCGGCTTGAAGGAAAGGTTTGATACATGAGGAAGACTACAGAGGGGTTGTGAACAGCTGCAGGCTCCAATATCTGAGGAGGAAGCAGAGGGTGATAGAGAAGACCTAGAAGATTTTGATCTGTAGATGTAATTACAAGATAATTTGTCACTGAAGATTACCTTTTCCTCATAGTGAAATACTGGATCCAGGTCATGCTGATTTGGCTACTCGTGTTTACCACATAGATTATAGGGAACAGAAGGGAGATCCCAGCGTCACACTTCACATGCGGCCATGTTGTGGTCAGCATTGTGCTGGAGCTCCAAGGCCAGAAGTCACAGATGACAGTTCTGGTGGTTCTGACCCAAACACGTGGCTGTTTCCCAGCCCTTTCTGGGCTGCTGGGAAGCGTGAAGCAGAGCTGACGTTTCAGCTGGGCGGTTGCAGCATGTAACCCTTAAAATCTGAAAGGGAATAATATCTTACTTTATTGTGGGAAGTAAGGCTGTGAGAGATGGTAGCTTTCATATGGTTGTCTCTCAGAGGGATGGAAGCCATCGAGTATGGAGAGGACTCCTTAAGCTAACCCTGTGTTAGTAACAGTGAACACTGCCGTTAATTCAGCTGTTGTGAGAGGCATCCAACAAGCAATGCTGTGGGCAAATGACCACAAAAACTTCAATTTGTTGCAGGTAAAAACAAGCCCAACATGGCAGCAGCTTGACTGGCTTGCTATCAAAGCAGGTTTGCAGTACCCAAGTGAACCCAGGGGTCTCAGTGGCAGTCTGGCAAAGACGTTTGCTAATCATCGGGAATTTTGTTCAAAAGAAATGGAGCCACCTGCAGAGGAGTTTGGAAGGTTCTGAGATGTAGTTGAAAGGCAGTAGTATTCCTGTTTGATTTCACTGGGTGGGCAAACAAACCCAGGTCCAAGGGAGGAGGTGGATGTGAGGGGTGGAAGGAAAGACTTGTTAAGATTAAAGGCTATAATCATAGCTTTGACAATTTCTGCAGTGTGGAAAATTATTTTTTTCTACTTTTTAAGTAATGGTGTGATACTTGTAAGGACTGTATACTTAATCGGTGAAGCTGCTTTGTGTATTTTTTTACACTTTATTTCCTCCTTTAAAAAGCCCTCCAGCCTTCTATTTTGTTACAGTCATATGGAATATAAAATAGGAATTACGTATATGACATACCTTTTAAATTGTATAAAGATAGCAGTTCGACTAAAATTTATGGCCCATTCTACTTTTTAAATGAAGGATGATCTTTCTGAGCTGGAGAGGATCTCAAAAATGAGTGCTCTGGATGGGCTTATCCACCCTAGTCGGGGAGACTGAGATGAGCTGAAGGGAGATCTTGGAGACATGACAAGTAGAGTGAAAAGGAAGAACAAAAGGAAAAATGGTAGGAATGGAGAACAACACTCTAACGTGTCAGAAGAAACAGGAAATTATGAGGAAGAAGGCATGTGAAATGAGGAAATAGAGGTTTGCTAAATTATAGATTCTTTTAAATTTAGTCCATAGAAAGTTAATATTACTACAGTGTAGTTTACTGCTTTTATTAATTCCATTGGTAGGAAATAATAAACTGGTAGGAACTATAACTGGTAGGAATTTTTTTTAATAATTTTTTTACCTGATATATTTTTGAAGTCCTAACTGTTTGCTACTAGAGAACTTTTACAGATATTTAGGCAAATTATTTTTTTCCAAATGAAGCCCTTAAATATGCCTTTAATGACCTTAAAGATTGACTATGACAAACATATGGACTGTAGAAGCATCCAAACAATTTTTTTCTGAAAGAAAAAGTTCTGAAAATCAAATCTTAATATGCCAGAGACAAGCCAATAATAATTTCTAAATACCAATGCAGCAGAAGAAATTCTTTGTGCTTATAGCTGTGAGCTGTTTGAGCTGTGCTGAAAGTCTTACATGATAAAGTTTTTCATTTGGAAACATTCAAGGCCAGGTTGGATGGGGCTCTGAGCAGCCTGATCTAGTTAGCGGTGTCCCTGCTCCTGCGGGGGGGTTGGACTAGATGACCTCTAGGGGTCCCTTCCAACCCAAAACATTCTATGATTCTATGATTTCTCTAGAGAAAAAAAAAAAAAAAAAGATTTAATCTCTTAGGTTGTAGTTAGTTCATTGCCAGGTGTTTTACAGATATAATGCATAAACGTGTTTCAGGGAGAAATAGAAAGAAAGGCGCTGTGGTAACTGCAGTTCGTTGCCTTGCATTGTTGGCCAGATGTGTTTTGCAAAGAAGTGGGCGCACACCCAATCTGGAATTCAGCTTTAGGCCTGATTTTGGTCTGTAGTGGTAGACTGTGACTCAGTCAGAGCCTAAAATCAAAATGCTTTTCCTGAATTTTGCATTTGCTAGTGGAGGATGGTTTCCCAGAAGGTGTTAATGATGAGGTGTTTGCTAATTTACAGCAGTGAAACTCCATTAAATTCTTGAAATTAAGGATAGCATTTTTCAAAAGTAGCAAAAGACATGTTGACTTCTCGTGAAACAAAGGCTCTAATTTTTCACCAATACCAAAAAGTAAGGCTTTGTATTATCTTTTTTTTTTTAATAAAAAACTCTTTCAAAGAGATTTTTCTTTAATGAAAAAAAAAAAATGCAATTAAAAAAATTTTTTTTTTAAGAAAAAAAAAAAAAGCCAAACCCCCCCCCCCCCCCCCTCCCCCTAGTGTTCACCTTCATTAACACGACTTGCTGACTTCCTTCCTCAGCTGCAGTTCTTCCTACACTCAGAGGTCAGAAAAGAGCAAGATCAACAAGCCACACATCTGGCTGTCTCTCTTTCCAACTGGAACAAAGAAACAATTTTTTTAATGACTTTTTGAGTTAATTGTAAACAATTTGGTTTTGGAGTCGCTGACTTGCAGCAAATGTTTGTCGTAGGCGGGTGGGGGGAAAAAAGACTATGTGCTAATGAAATTCCTCTGTGGCCGGCAAGGGGAAAAAAATCACTTTAAAAAAAAAAAAAAAGGAATGTCTTGATCCTTCTAGCATTGAAGTATGCTCAGAATTTTGAGTGTACATATAGAATGTTTCACAAGCTTAAAATACGTGCTTTGAAGAGGCAGAGACAGAAGTAATTGTGCATTTCATTTTCCTACGCTCTTATATACAGTAACACTGATTTTTAAATTTTTTTCCCCCTTTATTTTCAGTAGCTGTTTATGTCTGCACAAAGTGACAGTGATAAAAGACCAGGGACAAAGAATAGGAATAGAGGGGGAGGAAAAAACTATTTTAAAGTGAGAGTTCTGTTCTAATACTTCTTTCTTGTATTTGTACTGTTCCTAAATGGTTTGTTCCAGTAAACATTTCTCAGAAAAATGTATTTACAGTCATTAACCCTTAAGTAACATTTTGAAAACTAATTCTTAAATAATTAGAGAAATGGAATGCTTTTCTCACTTTCTGAATTACTGTAATTTTTTAAATGCCTTCTAGCATCACGTAGCATCAGTTTATCTAATCTATTAGTTTTACTTCTTTTTTCAAGTGTTTTATCTAAAGTAAAGTAAACATCTGGTGTGACTTTTGGTACTTTCACACTTCACAACAGGAAATACTAGAATTGTTGACGTACAGCACTTCTGAAGCGCCAGCTACTTTAAAAATACCTTATTACACATGTATGTGCCTCATTTGAGCTCATATTACTCTGATATTTTGCTTGCTTTGTTTCAGATGTCTGTCATGATAGTTTTATTTCTAACCTGACCATTCTGCTAAATATTTACTAATATCTTGATGTGAAAAGTAAATTGGTAATGCTGGTTTACTAGTACATTTGACTGTTTAGAACAATGCCTAAATTTCTGAGAAACTTGCGTAAAATGAGTCATCCAAAGAAAATCTTTTCCATCAATTTGTTTGTAGGAGGTAAAAGGCACTGTACTGTGACTATTTTTTGTCATTTTTAGGTGTTTGAGTTGATAATGCCACTTAGTGGATAACAGCCTCAACTGCAGCCTTTTTTCAAAACTGAATCAGGTAGCAGACCGCTATCTTGATTTATATTGGAGTTTTCCTCCTGTCTAGAATATGCTGATTGTAGCATGTTTTCAAAGAACCTTTTATTATCAACCCCATTTTAGGAAGTTTATGATGGCCAATTCGGTTTCTGGATGAAGAGTATTAAAATATGCTTCTTAAAATATATTTTAAAATACGTGCTTTTGCTAAGAAGGGTTGGACCAGCTGATCTTTGAGGTCCCTTCCAACCTGGTATTCTATGATTCTGTGAAAATGTAGGAATAATTTATTACAGAATTTTAAACAACTCGTAGGAAAATAAAGATCTGTTTATTTGCATATTTAATTTGATTGGAAAGATAAAACAACAATCTTGGTCTTGCACTGGTTCTTTAGGCTAATGAAATGTAATTGATAGTATGGTGATAATTTTGGTTTAGGCAGTGCTTGGGTTTAGCACTTATGATTGGAAGA